TAAAAGATATCCTGAACTTACTCCTCTTACTTAACTGAAATGTTGTGTCCTTTAACAAGTATCTTTCCATACCACCCCTGCCTCCCTGCCGCCCCCAGCCCCTGGTAACCACCATTCCACTCTCTACTTCTGTGAGTTCAACTTTTTGAGATTCTACATATAAATGAGATCATGCAGCATTTATCTTTCTGTGCTTGGTTTATTTCACCTAAGATAATGTCCTCCAGGTTCATCTCTGTTGTCATTTGTGGCATGGACCATTTGTGACAATAGAGATAAACATGGAGGATATTATCTTAAGTATTTCTCATTATCTTAAAGATTTTCTCCTTTTTTAAGGATGACTGGTATTTTGTTGTGTATCCGCCCAACCCGGCCTCCCACAGTGTTGGGATTACAGGCGTGAGCCACCACGCCTGGCCTGATCATATGGTTTTTGTCCTTCATCTTGTTGATACGATGTGTCACATTGATTCATTTACATATGTTGAACCATCCTTTGCATCCCTGGGTTAAATCCCACTTGGTCATGATGAATGATCTTTTTAATGTGTTGTTGAATTTGGCTTGCTAATATTTTGTTAAGGATTTTTGTATAGTGTTCATCAGGGATATTGGCCTATAGTTTTCATTTTTTTGATGTGTCTTTGTCTGGTTTTGGTATTGGTACTACCAGCCTCATGGAATGTGTTTGGAAATATTTCCTCCTCTATTTTATGGAATAGTTTGAGTAGGGTTTGGTATTAGTTCTTCTTTAAATGTTTGGTAAAATTTAGCAGTGAAGCCATCAGGTTCTGGGCTTTTCTTTACTGGGAGACTTTTTATTATGGCTTCGCTCTTATTGCTTGTTATTGGTTTGTTCAGGTTTTGGATTTCTTCATGGTTCAATCTTGGTAGGTTGTATGTGTCCAGGAATTTATTCATTTCTTCTAAGTTTTCTAATTTATTGGCATATATATTTGGTCATAGTAGCCTTTAACAATTTTTTGAATTACTGTGGTATTGATTGTAGTATCTCCTTTTTCATCTCTGATTTTATGTATCTGGGTCTTCTCTTTTTCTTAGTCTGACTAAAGATTTGTCAATTCTATTTATCTTTTCAAAAAAACCAACCTTTCATTAATCTTTTGTATTGTTTTCTTTGTTTCGATTTCATTTATTTCTGCTCTGATCTTCATTATTTCTTTCCTTCTACTAATTTTGCATTTGGTATGCTCTTGCTTTTCTAGTTTTTTAAGATGCATTGTTAGATTATATGAAGTTCTACTTTTTTTATATAGGTGCTTAGAGCTATAAACTTTCCTGTTAGTACGGCTTTTGCTGTTTCCCATAGGTTTTGGTATGTTGTGTTTCTGTTTTCATTTGTTTCATTTAGGAGCATATTGGTTTTGTTTGCTTGTTTATTTTTTTTAGATAGAGTCTCACTCTGTCACCCAGGCTGGAATATAGTGGCACTATCACAGATCACTGGAGCCTTGACCTTCCAGGCTCAAACAGTCATCCCACCAGCCGGGTGTGGTGGCTCATGCCCATAATCCCAGCACTTTGGGAGGCCGAGGCAGGGGGGATCACCTGAGGTTGGGAGTTCGAGACCAGCCTGACCAAGATGGAGAAACCCCGTCTCTACTAAAAATACAAAATTAGCTGGGTGTGTTGGCGCATGCCTGTAATCCCAGCTACTTGGGAGGCTGAGGCAGGATAATTAATTGCTAGAACCTGGGAGGCAGAGGTTACAGTGAGCTGAGATCGTGCCATTGCACTCCAACCTGGGCAACAAGAGTGAAACTGTCTCAAAAAAA